TCATATACTAAGAATAATAATTAGAGACAAAAAGAAATTAATAACGGATATTAATTGATATGATTCTATATAAAGTTTAAATGAAAACTATATTTTTGACAAGTAGTAGTACCTACATTTGACACATGTTTTATGTACCTTCTTTTAATTTGTTTCAAATAATAATAATTTTATTCAACTAACAATATACAAATAATCACTAATTTCATTATGCGGCAAAATTACTAAATTTAAACATTTAATTTATAATTATATCAACATTACTTACGTATGAGTATTATTATTAGTATCAGTATCAATATCAGTATCTGTATAAGTATCAGTATCAGTATGAGTATCAGTATCAATATCAATATCAGTATCAATATCAGTATCGGCAAAATTACTAAATTTAAACGTTTAATTTATAATTATGTCAACATTACTTACGTATGAGTATTATTATTAGTATCATTATCAATATCAGTATCGGTATAAGTATCAATATCAGTATCAGTATCAGTATCAGTATCAGTATTAGTATCAATATCAGTATCAATATCAGTATCAGTATCAATATCAGTATCAGTATTAGTATTAGTATTAGTATTAGTATTAGTATTAGTATTAGTATTAGTATTAGTATTAGTATTAGTATTAGTATTAGTATTAGTATTAGTATTAGTATTAGTATTAATATTAGTATTAGTATGAGTATTAGTATTAGTATTAGTATTAATATCCATATAAATATCAGTATTAGTATTAGTATTAAGTAACAGTATCAATATCACTATGAGTATGAGTATGAATATGAGTATGAGTATGAGTATGGGTATGAGTATGAGTAAGAATATGAGTATGAGTATGAGTATAAGTATGGGTATAAATATCAGTATCAGTATCAGTATAAGTATCAGTATAATATCAGTATAATATCAGTATCAGTAACATTAATAGTATAAATATTAGTATCAATATCAATATCAATATCAATATCAATATTAGTATTAGTATTAGTATCAGTATTAGTATTAGTATTAATATTAGTATTAGTATTAGTATTAGTATTAATATTAGTATTAGTATTAGTATTAATATTAGTATTAGTATTAGTATTAGTATTAGTATTAGTATTAGTATTAGTATTAGTATTAGTATTAGTATTAGTATTAGTATTAATATTAGTATTAGTATTAGTATTAGTATTAGTATTAGTATTAGCATCAATATTAGTATCACTATCAGCATCAGTATTAGTATTAGTATTAGTATTAATATTAATATCAGTCGTAGTATCAATATTAGTATTAGTATTAGTATCAATATTAATATTAGTATAAGTATTAGTATTAGTATTAGTATTAGTATTAGTATTAGTAATTAGTATTAGTATTAGTTCTATTATTAGTATTTGTATTAGTATTAGTATTAGTATTAGTATTAGTATTAGTATTAGTATTAGTATTAGTATTAGTATGATATTAGTATCAGTATCAGTATCAGTAGTATCAATATATGTATTAGTATCATTATCACTATCAGTATTAGTATCATTATCAATAACAACATCAGTATCACTATCAGTATGAGTATGAGTATGAGTATGAGGATCGGTATCAATATTAGTATTAATATATGTATCAATATTGGTATGAATATTAATATTGGTATTAGTATTAATAATAGTATTAGTATCAGTATCAATATGTGTATGTGTATCAGTATGGGTATTAATATTAGTGTCAATATGTATATCAGTAGCAGTATCAGTATCAATATCAACTCGAACCCTACACCTTTACCCTATCGGTAAATATTAGGTACCAACTCTTCTAATGAGGATTGGTTAATAATAGGGTTGACATTAATATTAGTATTAGACTATCAATATTAATCATCGTATTAATATTAAGATTAGTATTAATATTAGTATTATTAGTGTTGGTTTTAGTATTATCAATGTTGGTTTTGGTATTAATTTAGTAGTTTTTGTTTGTGTAATATTAGTGTCAATATTAGGGTGCATAGGCAATTGTACGCCGCAATGTCCAGAGTTAAAAGTAGATTTCGGATAAATATATTTATCAACTCAGAATCGGGCGATATAACTAACTTTACGAGCAATGTTATGTGCACAAAAGATTTTCAGCGAATATGAAGGTAAATCACAAACAAATGTATATTTTGATTCAATAAAACATTTTTTTTTAGTATTATTTACATGTATGTCAATTGTTCAAAGTTTTCGTTCGTTTTATTTTATCCAAAATAATTTAAAAAAAAAAATTTAATCTCGTGCATCGCACGGGTGAATTACTAGTTATATATATATAGTGAAAAATCAATTTCCGCCAATTTCAAAAAAAATATATTGAAACAAGTTTTTTCGATTTTTTTTCAATATCTTTTTTTAAATAGAATTAAAATAGAAAGTTTAGAGCAACTCAATCCCTGCCTTTTGCTTTACCAAATGAATAGTATGTGCACATTTATTTATCAACTTAAAAGCTGTGTTACAACAATGAAAAATAAATAAAACCAATCTTCCGTTCTCCGTATGAATTTCGGACATTCGATCCCCACTTTTCGAGCAGGACACTTGTTTACAAAGCCAGCAGGAAGTAGTATGCTAATCCGATCGGAACCGCTACGAGCATACCGAATATAACCCTAGAGAGAGAAAACCGAAACAATTTTATCGACATTAATATTATCGAAAACAAATGAAAATATTACGTACGCTGTGCTCAGTATGTCCGGATGTCGATTGTACTCTTTCGCAAACACGAACGGAACTATCCCTTGTGGCAGAGCTGCCTGTCCCAAATTTTAATAACGTTATTAAAATTGTAACATAAACGACTAAGAAATAATGCTCGATCTGCTTATGTATTCACCTGCACGAGTGCTACTTTGAGTAACGTGCCTCTTAACCCGAGCGCGATTGAAGGCACTGCCATGAGAGATGGTCCTGCTATAAACTTCAGTGCCATGGCTAATACTGCTTTTCGGGTACCGCATGCAATCAATCGGGCTTGTGATGCCATAAAAAGACCTAACAAGTAATAAATTTCGTTGTTCAAGAACCCTGTTTTTACGTATATACGAAAGATGTGGAAACGTAAAAAGCTAATACCTAAGCTGAACATAGCCATTCCGAGCCCTCCATTTGATAATAGTAATATAGAGTTCTCGATCACTTTAGGCAATTTTACTTCCCACCTACACCCGTGATTTTACAAGTTAGACTCAAATTCTTAATATATACGAGGCGTATTGTTTTATACGACCTGAAATGTATGCTCGACCATACGAGCCCTGCCAATGTGGCATGAGTATTGGGATTTGTGATCAATTTTTTTCCGACTGTCAATAGAATGATTCTTATGCTTCTTTCGCTTTGATGTTTTACTCCGTTCGTAATTGGTTCCGGTACTTGTGGATTCTCCGATTCTCCTTCAAAGATAAGAAAATAATAAATAAAGACAAGTACCAAATGACTATTTGACTCTGCATATCAATACCTGGTACTTGTGACGGTGGTACTGCATTTGCAGCATCGATCTCGAAAAGAATTAACAGAAGGTTGTACCAAACTAAGCTCTGCAGTACAACTATCTGAGCCAAGAGTACCGCCGCTTCGTCCCCGTACATTGCTCGTATTAGCGGGATTCCTAGAATAAGTGAATTAGGCAATGTGGACAAGGACAAACCTGTAATTATCCAACTCAGGCTCCCTCTCGATCGCATTCTGGCAATCACTGCCAGTACGACGAATGCGATAAGCTTTTGGAGGAAATCGGCGGACGCAAGTTTCAAGTTCATTTTATAAGGATTGTTCGATGAGATCACCTGGAACGACAAAAGCGGGATGGAAAAATTTGCGACAAACTTGTTGATCCCCGAGCACTGATCCGGCGTGAAAAGTTTCCACCATTTGATAGAAAGATAAGCTGCAATCATCGCAACGTAGAGTGGGATGATCGCAGTAAAAACATGGTACACATTAGCTAACGTTATCATGATTTCGGAAATGATCGATAATTTTTACCTCTGCAACGAGGCTTTTTATATAGTTATGTCGATTGGTTGTCTGATTATTGAAGGGGGGAAAAAGGTGGTCACTAAATTACATGTTTTATAAGTCAAACTTGTCGATTATTGTTTGGGTTATGATAATTACTTCGTTAATCGGATTAATATAAATTGATTAAAAGGGCATAAAGAAGTTGATTCCAGTTTCCTTCTTTTGGTTTATAAGTTCTTTTTGGCTTATTGGTCTAAAGCCTAACAACAAACCTAGATTAATGTAGTGAGAATACTATGAAGGAAAACAAGATTCTTATTAGTCAAGAATCAAGATTATTGGTCATGGATTTTCTTGATTATTGGTCAAGAATCAAGATTATTGGTCATGGATTTTTTTTCTTGTAATTATTCTACCATGATTATCATTTTTAATTTTCGAAATCTGATTAGATCATGCTAATCATTGATGTTTATAAGTTGGAATCAGTTAAATAAAATGATTAGGAATAAAGAAGTGTATTGTAAGGGAAGAAAGTGAAAACTTGGGTAGTAACTACAGTCAAGAAAGCATTTTTTCTATATATGTTAAAAGTTTGAGAATAAGTGTTGTGGAGAATTGCTTTATAAAGCTCATTTTTTTGCCAAATAAGTCTTTGTTTGCCATTTCTTCCTCAAGCTCCAATTCTTTTTTATTTATTTTTTGTGAAAAATAAAAATTAAACCTTCGGAATTCAGTGTTGATTAGAGGTAGAAATCAGACAGATCGAATCGAGTCGAATCGGAATTTACATTTCTAGATAATATATATTTTTCTTAGGAAGTAACTAATTTCAATTCATTTCCGAATAAATACGAGAAAAAAAATCAGATTTTTCATAAAAAAAAATTATGAAAATAAAATTGAATCTCACATTCATTCCAATTTCAATCCAAAAGAATTTAAGAAATGGATTGCAGAATAAAAAAAAATGGTCTTTAAAATTCTTGCCAATAGACTATGTGGCAGTCCAATAATCGGCAAACTTGTTTTGCTAAGAGAGCCGTTTTAAAGTCATTTAAATCACAAACGCCCAAACTCCTTCATATTAGACAGTTCTTGCCATCGAGCCGGATGAATTCTTATTCGATTGTTATTTTCCCGCCAAAACTTCGACATGAACCTCTCTAGCTATGTCTTCGATAAAATAACAACGAAGACGGAAACAACTCATAGTATACGATGGACACTGTCCGCCCGATTTCTCCACCAGGCCAATTCAGTTATAATAAGATTGTATAATTATATCCTATCTTTAAAACAAACAAGATCTAAATATATTCTCTTAAGATAAATTTTTGATATGGCATTTTAATGTATGAAACTGGAATATTAATTCATGATCATATTCATATGTATCAAATGATACCAATTGGTGCTAAATATATGCGTAAATAATCTTCTTCCAAAAAAATACAATATAACTTCAATTAATAAAGATTTTGTTGATTATAGTATTGTACTAAATATAGAAAATGAATCTTGATCAATTCTTTTGACAACCAATTTTTAACCACATGGACAAACAAAAAATTCTGAATTTTCATGAATATGAACCATTAAAAGCAAGTGGCTATCCCAAGTTTTCGCGAAAATTATCGACTATATAAACCAATCCTCACAGCATAATCAAAAACAGAATAAAAGTGGTTTGTGCTTCTTTGCCTTCAAATAAAAGGCCCCTTTTAATAAATTTGAGTGTGTTTCGGTCTGGTCCGGTTGAACCCATATCCGCTATTGGGATTCGACCCCAGACCGTCAACATTCAAAAATAAATAAATAAATAAAAAATATATAGAGCAAAAAAGAAAAATGATTCACAAGATGGGTTTATTGTTCTTGTTGATCGCTTTTGCTTCTGCTCTTCCAAGCATTAGTGCTAATTTTGCGGATTTCGACGATTATTGGCTCAAGCGTAGCGTACAGGCTTGGAACAACACACTCCAATCCTACGAGTCTCATCCTGCTAAAATCGTCAGCCATTTGAATCTGCATTCCAAGAGGTAATTAATTCATATATATTAATGTTGGTTTTGTTGTTAAAACAAAAATTAAAAAAGAAAAAAAAAAGTTTTAAGGGTTGAAATTGTAATTATGTATATTATGCAGGGCCTTAAAGGAAATAAAAGACATAAATTTGGTTAGCAACAGTAGCCGTAGGCAGCTGGCCCACGGGTACGAAGGACCGTGCATGGCAACAAACCCTATCGACCGGTGCTGGAGATGCCAAGCCAACTGGGCCGACAACCGGTTCAGGCTGGCCGACTGCGGCTTGGGGTTCGGATACAAGGCCAAGGGCGGCAAGGGAGGCCGTATCTACGTGGTCAACGACTCCTCCGACGGAGACATGGTCAACCCAAAGCCAGGAACACTCCGCCACGCCGTCATCCAAACGGAGCCGCTGTGGATCATCTTCTCCCGGAGCATGGTCATCCGCCTCTCTCAGGAGCTCATCATGCAGAGCGACAAGACGATCGACGGCCGCGGGGTCCGGGTCCACATCACCGGCGGCGCCGGGATCACCATCCAGTTCGTGAAGAACATCATCATCCACGGGATCTTGATCCACGACATCGTCCCCGGGAACGGCGGACTGATCAGGGACTCCGTCGACCACTACGGGCTCCGAACGAGGAGCGACGGGGACGGGATCTCGATCTACGGTGCGCAGGACATCTGGATCGACCACGTGTCGATGACAAAGTGCAGCGACGGGCTGATCGACGCGATCATGGGGTCGACTGGGATCACGATATCGAACGGGCACTTCACCGACCACAACGAGGCCATGCTCTTCGGGGCGAGCGACAGCCACACGCAGGACGTTAAGATGCAGATCACGGTGGCGTTCAACCACTTCGGGAAACGGATGGTGCAGAGGATGCCACGTTGCAGGTTCGGCTACATCCACGTGGTCAACAACGACTACACCCACTGGAACATGTACGCCATTGGTGGCAGCAAGAACCCCATCATTATCAGCCAGGGCAACAGATTCATTGCTCCCCCAGACAACCCTTTTGCCAAGGAGGTATTATATACATATATACATATATATATAGATACATACATGTCAAACGACAAAACATAGTAATAGTAATAGTAGTAGTAGTACTGACTACTGATGATGTTGCATGTATATATAATTCAGGTGACAAAGAGGGAATATTCGCCAGAATCAGTGTGGAGCCAGTGGATATGGAGATCGGAGGGAGATATTTTCTTGAGAGGAGCATTCTTTGTACAGTCGGGAGATGCAACGTATACGAGTAAGCACCCGGAGAAGTATGACTTGATCCAGGCGGCGTCGGCCACTCAGGTGGGGATAATGACCAAATTTGCCGGTGCATTGGGTTGCAAAGTAGGACAACCATGTTAGAAAAAATACCCAAAAAAAAAAAAAAGAAATGAAAAATTAATTGTTTTTATATATATAAATATTATGATTGGTGGCAAAGCATTTACTGCATCTTTGTTAGATTGGTGAGATTTGTTTGGAGTAAAAGAAATTATAAAGGTGATAGGGAACAAACCAATCATTTTATTTCAATTTTAATAGTAGTTTTGAATATATCGTTGTTCACTAGGAATTTTGTAGCGAGTTTTGTTTATTTAATTTTTACCTGCAACTTTTTATTTTATTTGTCTTCACAAAAATATGAACCTGATTTTATTGATACAACCAATAATGAATATTTCCTCATCCACCACTCTTTTATATAAAATCATCACAACATAATATATATGTGACTAAAGAGACTTGAAGCCAAACAATTTCAAAAAATTAATTTTTGGTTTAACCGATTATATATAATTTTTAAGTAAATCTGAATAAATATAACACAGTATTGGAAAAACATAATTAACACTCAGAGAAATAAACGGGCAGAATTCGCTACAAGAAACGACCAAGTTCCATGTTTAGAGTTATTCGAAAACAGTTAGCAACTAGATGATAATACGTAACCACAAGGTGCAGTAGTATATATACGCACAATGAGACTGATGAAAATATATTTCATCCATCTGCTAATTAAGCACTGTCAGATTGATCTACTAAGCCTAGATTAGTGGTGGCTTGTGGATTCTTATAGCCACTTATCTCTTCGGCATAGCGTTTCTTGTCTACCTTGGCTTTTGCTTCGTATGGTGCCTTCTCATCCGCTGCAAAATCAATCAACCAATCAATTACACCATCACTATATATATATCACGAGCAAGTGTTCGTCATTCTATTATAATAAATGCATATAAAATATGAAGTTGGTTTATTATACCTGTCATCTTATGCCATCTTTCACCAAGTACTCTGGCAATATCAGTAAATGATATTCCTGGATTGGTCTTCTTCAGATTCTGCCAGGAAGGAAGGAAGGATTATATAATGTGATAAATAGTAGACTATGAGAAATATATATATATATATAGATATATGCTCAAGACAGTTGATGTGTATTATTGGAATGCAAACCTCTCTTTCGACTTGGGAGAAGTACATAAAAGCACTAATTGCCCTCTTTGGCGCATTTGGATCCTTTTTCTTCTTCTGCTTCTTCTTCTTTGACCCATCGTTGTCAGCATCTTTGGTTTTTTTCCTACTCGATGATGATGATGCCTTGGTAGCAGGAGCAGAAGGTTCTATTTTCGATTTCTTTTTTATCGGTGCCTAAATCATCATATATTGATGTCAGCTCCGTATATTGAAGATTATATAACTGACAAATAAATAGCAGAAATCTTACCTCTTTCTCCTCTCCGCTGTCACTGGCATCAGATTCTCCTTCCCCAGAATCATCAGTCGGGGAGCCTCCATCATCTTTTTCGATAACAAAATCCTCATCCTACATAAGAGCAAAAAGCATATACCCGTAAACTGAGTTTGCGTACGAAATAAGATGCATTCACTGATTGTTTCTCATTGTAGTAATAAAAGATATATGAATAACCAGAAGTAAAATTAAATATGTCAAGAAGAAGAAAAGGAACTATCTATAACTTGCATGTACAATGAATAAATAGAAACACGCGCAGATGAAGAAAATAAAAAAGAATACCTCCTCGTCACTCTCGTCTCCAATAGCTTCATTCTTGATTCTCTCAAGATGTGGGTCAACAGCATCATCAATCTCACTCTGGAGAACAGCTGCAACTCCTAGTTCCGGAGTCTTGGCACTCCCCAAATTCATGATCTTCAGACCTTTCTCACTGTAGTAAAGTTCCAAATTCCATGAGCATTACACCTCAGAGACAAAATTGAAGCTTGTCTAGCTGTCTTATAAGAAGAATATAAGGAAAACAACAGGCAAGAGAGATGAACTGACTTGACGAATGTAAAGAGATTATGGTACTCATTTCTCTGGATATTTCGGAAAAGGTGCTCCTGCTCGGTCTTAAGCCTGATGAGAAGATCAAAGTAATGCATATTTGAACCTCCAGCAGTATGCCTCTCAAACTCCACGTAGTCGATCTATATTTATAAGCAAGACAAAAAAACCAGGTGTCGTCAGATGCATCCACGTGTGGTATGTACAAAGTTTAATTTGTAGAGTTCCCCAAGTATGACTGGATACTATACCTCCTCGTGAAGAATTAAAGTGGGTGGTTTGGGTAAGAAGAAAAAGCTCTTTTCAAGCGGATAAAGAACTCCATCTTCAGCTTTAAGTGATGACTTCACAGCATAACCATCCTGACTACTACGGAACTTTCCTGGTTTAGTGACTTTGCCACCAGATAGACCACGGAGAATCGTAATGAAGATCTCATGGATAAGTCCCTGATATTTAAACACAAAATCATGTCAAGATTAAGTGCACTCCAGCATAATATCCTTATTCCCCCAGCTGTTCAAGTGGAGAAATGGAATCACAAACACATTGGAGGATCCACCAAAAAATGCAATTGAAGCACAACCGTACACTTTATTGACTAATACAAATCTAGCAGATAGAAAGTAAAGCCTCTATTGAATAAAATAGTTGGGACTATACCAGTCAATAAAATCAATGAAATTTCAGTACGTTTCAACATGAGATTATTACCTTATGCTCTGGCTGGAGCTTGTCCTTGAACTTGGCATTGTAAAGTTTTTCGTCCATTGATAAGGTGGTGTCTATCACAGCATCTGTCTCAAACTGCAGTGAAACCAAATGAAGATCCAGAATATGATTAAAATGAATTCTCACATTTTTAAAGTTGATATTAGAAAATTGAACTGTCAATATACCTGCATCACAATATGTGGATACAGAGTTTGGCCCTTCCTGATTGGTGGATCAAGAGTAACAACAACAAAGGTATGCGGTTGGTTAGACTGCAGAAGCAAAGATGATTAAGCATTAAAATGATGCTTCTAAAAAACAACCAAAGTAGTAGATATATGTATAAATGATGCCTCTAAAAAACATACAAGAAACATTAAAACAGACATCATGCAAGAGCAAAGTCACAGAACCTTGGGCAGCCAAAAAACACGAACAACACTGCTGTACTGAATTTTGAAGTCATTAGCTTGTCCTTGGAGACGTAAAAATGAGAGATGAAGTTCAATGTTGTATCGTCCCCTAAAGGAAATCCATGTCAGACTGGAGGAAAGTAACTAACACAGTACAACTCATAATAAATAGCTCTGCATAACCAACCTAGGAGTCAGTATGGCAATTCCATCAAAAGTAACAACAGCGTCTTCACCTCCAGGTCCAACGTCTGCCATTGATATAATCTTGTTTCGGAATACCTACAGAGAAAGTACATTCCCTAGCACTCAAAAATAAATGGACAACAACCATATTATCAACATCAAGATTCAAAGCAAAATAATTACCTGGGCAGAAGGGTTACTCTCATCCCCAACAAATTGAGTGTTTGAATTTGGAATGTGAAAGCTTATTTCCATTAACGAATCTTTCTGTTGAACAAGTATGAAGTTATTAGCTTGCTGACTAACAATAAGGGGAAAAGAAAAAAAAAAGGAAGCAAAAAGCTATGCATTGCCGACATTGAATCCTACATACAATAGATCTACGCACAAAAAATAAGAAATTCAACAGAATAAATACTGTGAATGACATGAAGAACAAAAGGAACCTCATTGGCACCAGTTGTGTCATCTACATGGAATTCCAACAAGACGTCATTTTTTCCTTGAAGTTGGGTCTGTGCAACATCCGTTAAAGATATCTCAAATGCTTGCTTAGCACCCACTAGAAAGGTAAGTGTATTCTCTGGAAAAAAAATATGAACAGACATTAGGCATATTGAGATGAAGTAAATCATGCATAATAAATGGTATTATCAACTTTCTCCAAACGAAAAGGAAAAATTGTGAAGGTTGTTCCTTCTAATTTTACGAGGAAGGGGAGTAAATCCCTCCTCCACCAACTATACTCTCAAACCAATGATATTTCGTTAAAAAAATAAGGCAAAGTATGCAGTTGCTATATAAGGTCACCCAGTGGAAAACAAAAAACTGACAAACTTAAAGATTAAACCTGATCCTAATAGAAAAACAAGAACGGAAATTCCAGCAACCAGCGGCTTCAAACTGTAAATAGACACAAGGATATAGTAGTAGTAATAGTGGTATATACCATTTAAATCAACTTCTCCCCAGTTTTTTCCACTAACAGAAAGCTGCTTCTCCTGTGGAGTTGTCCCAAGACTGGACTGGAAAAATGTAGTCAGACTGGCAACATCCTGCAAAACATCCAAGAACATGATAAGACTGCGAGGTTTTTAACGAAATTGAACTCCTTCTGTTGGATGCGTGATAAATATGTGACATAATACATTAGGAGTGTAATTAAAATGGTTTCCAGGTCGGTACCAATCTTTTCTATCTTGCCCTTTCAGTTTTCACTCCTAGGAAGCTCAATGTATAAAAACAGAGTAATAAATATTCTCAAACTAGCATCACGACAGATAAGCAATATATAAAGAACAATCGACGGAATTATGAATTATTCAACAAAAATATATGTTCACCTGATCACGAAAACCAGTGAATTTATAATTAAGGCCATCTTTGGTCCGAACTCCAAGTTGATTTGATCGAGGAACTTTCATCCAGGTAAGCTCCAGAAAAGTAGATTTGTCTACTTCCACAGCCTTACCGCCTCCTTGTTTCTTCCATACTATCCCACCAGAATGAACTTTAAGTTGCCCTGGATTCTACAAGTTGCAGCACAGAACAATTCAAATAAACAAAAGACTAAATACTTTGAGACCCTCAGGGTCAACAATCTATCATTCCAGGATGAAGGCGTCCTAAATAAAAAATTCTCACGAGTCAAACCCCTAAGTAAAGCAGCATCAGGAATCAACACGGAACACGTAATTTTTAATCATCTTTCCTTTCTCTAATTTATTTCTTTAAAAAAGAATTAAAAAAAAAAACTAGAAGTTCAGCATTAGACACAAGCCCCTTGAAACCTTGACAAACATTTGCAGAAATATCAAGTCCACCAACAGTTCTGATTCTTCAGCTTAAAATCCTTCGATTTCACTCCTCACATTTAGCTTAAAAGCCTGAAGCATTTGAACCAAAAAGAAACCCTAACCTGCACCTAACCCTAAAACAGTACATAATAAACACAGAACCAAATTCTTAAATCGTGCAATAGCAAATTGAAATCTGCGAGAAAATAATCCTCTCAAAACCCTAAAAAACAAGCATAAATTGAAGACTACCCGGGGTTAAAAAAGGAGCACAAATAAGCTATTCTAACGCAAACATCACAACCCACAGTAATAACTAGGGTTAGGGTTCGAATCAGAAAAGGAAAAAGTAAAAGCAACAGAGAGATAAGCTATTGAACTTACGGATCCTCCACGGCCACCGAGAGAGATACTGTTGAACAGATGACCATCCGCCATTGCAGTAACAAAATGGGGGCAAAACTTGGGAAAGCGGAGTAGCGACTGCGGTTTATATAGAGTGACCGACGTTCGCACTGCGTTAATGTGGCGCGAAAAGGAAATAATCGACTGCGAGTCGGTTCACGGTTAAATGATGCAACTCCGATGGAAGGGCACGTGGTAGTCACGTGGTTTTTGGCTTATCGGGCCTGACTTAACCAATCATAAAGTGCGGGCTATGTTATTATGGGCCGCACTATAATAGATATAAACCCATAGTCCAGTAGAAATGTATTTTTTCAAATTATACATTATTTTTTCATAATTTTGGGATATTAATTAGAACTTCGAAAATGTTTATTTTGTGAATATTTTTGAAATATATATTTCTAAATTGTTGATGGTAAATTTGAAATATTTATTTCATGTGCGTCGCACGGGTGAAATTACTGGTGTTTATTTAAAGAAAGATAAAATCGTCGATTCTATTGATTGAAAAATCGCACAGCACTCATCCAAGTTGGATAAAAATCACATTACAATCGCCCAAATTAGGTGAAAGTTGTCATTCTTGTCTCTTCGATTTCTAGTCCTAGTCCTAAATCAACAGAAATGAAATTACTTTATTAAGTATAAATTTATTTAAAAAAAAAAATCATATTATCATCATTTGAAATCGAGTGTAACAAACTTAACTGTTTCTTTTAATTTCTTTTGAATTAAGTTCAAGAGACGTCGTTTATACTTTTCAAAACGTGTTTGCTCTTTCGATTTATTTCCGCGTCTTTTGCTTATATAGAAGAGGAGGGAAGTGACACCGTTTCGAAGACTGCATGTCAGCAATCACATGCAACTCGCGTGCTCCGGTCGTTTTATCATATTTTCGAGTGAGTTTATGTCATTCAAAGAGGGATTCATAACATCGTATCAAAAGTAGATTTCTTCTCGTGTTAAACCAATTGGTATACATGTTGCAATTCACCAATCGTTTCGTTAGTTAAGACCTTAACAATATTGATCATAACAGACAAATCAGCATATGCTAGATGATGATGAATCCAAGAAAATGCCCAAGTATGGCATTACGCTACGCCCTGTCAATTCGTTCCGACCCTCCGAAACTCTTACTGATAGTGATATATAAAATAAAATAATAAAAATCTCGACCAATCGATTCGCGTATATTTTGGTTCCTGTGGCTGCTAGACAGTACAAGAATAAACAAGTTTGTCCTGACTTCATCAAACCACTTGTTTTCATCGCCATTCATTCATTTATGTTTCCCTTTAAGGAACAACTAAAGACAAAAAATATAATAATCCCAAAAAGAAAACATATGTATATATATATATATGTATATAGTCATGAGAATTTAGATTGAGAAGTAAAGAAAGCAAAAGAAACGAAACCGAATATATGGCAATGAGAATGGTAAAGAGTGAAGACAACCTCGGGAAAACTCATGCGAGAAAGCGAAGGAGAAGAGATGCCGTTATCAGCTATGGTGATGACGGTCAAGAGACGGAAAACCGACAAGCGGGTCCCGCGTCGGTGGGACCCACAACTGTAAAAAGAAGTTCCAAGTTTCGTGGTGTGAGCAAGCACAGATGGACAGGCAGATACGAAGCACACTTGTGGGATAAACTAACTTGGAATATTACTCAGAAGAAAAAGGGTAAACAAGGTAATGTTAAATTACTAATCTTAATTTTAATCTTAATCCTTAATCTTAATCTTAATCTTAATCTTAATCCCTCTATTTGCCTGTCAATCTCATGGTCCTCCAACTTTGGAATGGAAATTGCAAATTCTCAACAGTTTATCTTGGTGAGTAGAATATTCGTTAATTAATTCGGTTGCGTTATTAAAAACACGAAGAGAAAAAAAAGGCTTATCGTTTATGAATAATCTTCAGGGGCTTATGACGACGAGGAAGCTGCAGCACGAGCATACGATTTAGCAGCACTTAAGTATTGGGGAAATTCAACTTTCACTAATTTTCCTGTATGATTATTTCCCTGTCGAAACAACGATCTTCGTAACTATCTATATATATAATATAACTACCTAATTTATTGTTTTACGAATTTCACTGATTTTTTTTTTCCTGCAGATATCCGATTACAAGACAGAAATCGAAATTATGCAGAACATGACCAAAGAAGAGTATCTAGCTTCACTGAGAAGGTACTAATTCTACACCTCATTTTATGTAATCAAGTTTATTCATGTATGTATGACACGAATTTATTGTACTATAGAAAAAGTAGCGGCTTTTCTAGAGGGGTTTCGAAGTACAGAGGAGTTGCGAGGTACGAATAAATATAATCAATCCCGCATTCACATAAAAATTTCATTTCCATGGCTGATTATATTAGAAGATAACCTAACATATAATTGCAAAAAAAAAAAAAAAAAAATGCAGACACCATCACAATGGAAGATGGGAGGCAAGAATAGGAAGAGTTTTCGGGAATAAGTATCTCTACCTCGGTACTTACAGTAAGTAATCTGCAGCCCGATTGACATCCTCTAGAATTAGTATGAGCAAACCACGATCAAATCACATATTAAATTTTGATCGATTTGTTTACAGGCACACAAGAAGAGGCGGCTCGAGCTTACGATATTGCAGCAATTGAATACAGAGGGATTAATGCGGTCACAAACTTCGACTTGAGCACGTATATCAGATGGTTAAAGCCCGGAGCAAACATTTCAGAACCTGCACAAGAAACAAAACAGAGCACAGAATTTGCAGTATCGGTATCCCCTTTTGTAAGAGAAGAGGGATCTCTTTCGCTGCCATGTTTAAAACGAAAAGCTTTTGGATCAAACGAAGAGAACGATGTTCAAGAAATGTTTTCGAGCAGGGTTCCTATTAGCCCATGTGGCAAATCTTCTCCAACGGCTTTGGGGCTACTATTTCGATCTTCTCTGTTTAGGGAACTTCTTGAGAAGAACTCAAATGTGTCCGAAGATGAAAATGACGGTGGAACAACGAAGAACTTGATGAAGGCGAGAAGTGAGGATGAATACGAAGGGATGTTTTGTGGTGGAAGTGAAGATATATATGACTGTTCGGATATGGGCACTATGTATTAATCAATAGATGCCATCAAAACGGAGTTTTTCTGTGTCTGTACATATGAAAGCATTTTTCTTACAGTCGGAAACATTTTGCTCCTCTGTTTTCGGAGCAGACACCTGGTTCGTTTTTTCAAGTTTCGGGGACCTTTTGCGAATGTAAATAAAAGAAAATAATAGCATGTTTTCATGGAAGCAAGATGTATGAAAAATACCTTGTCAATTGACCCTCTGCTTTATTAAGTTTCTGTTAAAGAGAATCACTATCAAAGATGAAATACTAGATAGTATACCATTTTGAAATCCAAGATTGGAGAGATCGATATAATTCTGTAAATAGACGAAATTTAGAGCAAATATCCGAAAATTTATGACATCAAGTTAAACAATTTATATACTTCTGATGATGTCACTCCAAAACAGAGTTATCCACATTGTCAGCTAATACTCAGCTAAGCGAATTCAACCTCCATAATGGACTTGAAGCATGTTCGACTGCATACCAATTTAACGTAGAATAACAAATTAGGAAGCGTCGTAAGGTAAGGGATGTATACTGGGTAAACTTTGAAGGCAAATCAATGTAAAGTCAAACTGCATTTCCCTTTTTCTTGAAAATCTGAATTATACATTCTAAGCGAAGTGTATTACCTCTCGATTCGAAATACAAATGTAACGATTTAAACATAAACAGCCCGAGCCTCGCAAAATTTTTAGAACTGTTTCCTCTTGTTCTGAAATAATTTGTCTCTTTTCGCATACGCAAAAAAGAAAGCAAACAGAATCCCAGCAGACAGCAGAAAAGACGTCCATGGGAATGGTGGATCCTTGAAACAAACAAGCGAAGCCTCCAACTCTTGAGATGCTTGATAAACGAGATTGTGGATAGCATACAGATCGTGATCCGATGACCTCAGATAATACAAAGCCATCTCATAGTCAAAATGCGACATAGCAGAAATCGACCTATCCAACTTGTACCTAAACAAGTTCCACCTCTGTACAAATTCTGTATGTCGAGTGTGTTTCAAAAGTTTTCTGTCCCCACCATGTGCAGCAATCGAATCAAGAACGTCAATCCCACTCGTAATGGTGTAATTTAAGGTGGTCAAAAGAACATTTCTCCTAGCAGCATCCTTCTGAACGAAAGACAAAGAAGATATCTCGGAAAACGGCCCAAATGGTGTTTGTCCAATACTCCACGTGTAGTCCACAAGAGAACTATTATGCCTTGGACTCCAAACTAAATGCGTGGGCGAAACACCCCACATGCTCTGCAGAATAGAACCCACAAGCGGTCGTTCGAGTTCTCGAGCCTGTGTGAACACATGATGGCCATTGCAACTATAGTCGCTCACAGTCTGTGTACTCTTTGTCCTAACTGCAATCACCATATCCTTAAACGCCACAGTCTGGTGATATCGATCGAGCAACAAGATTGTATTTACATCGAGATCGAAAACATAAACAGGAAGAACTCTACCAAACTCCTCCTCGGGCAACTGTGCCACCCTTCTAAACTCATCAACCGATTCCAAGATTGTCTGATGCAAACGCTTCGAGTCCAAATACTCGCTCACAATCAAGGTATAGTTATCGAACAAGTACCTCGAAGTATACGAAGTGGTCGCCCTTGCAATGGCGAAAGAGCAAATGGAGCACTCGGACAATTTGACCTCGTATTTCTTGAAACTCAAATCCTGATCCCTTAACAACAACCCGTGTTCGTTTGCCTCGTTCATAAAATTACTCTCTATCGACTTCCAATCCAAACCCAAACTACTACCACCAGCATCGCCATGTATATGAATAAATTCAACAATCAATTTATTCTCAAAAGGCACAGGGATTCTCAAAGATGGGACTAGGAGTACCTGATAAGCGCTCCACACTAATGAAGCCAAGTCCGAAAGCAATGCCTTTTGCGACTTGGGTCGGCCATGGAGTGCTGCAAAAGGGTGAAACTCGCCTTTCGGCAAGACACCGTCGCCGGATAAGGCGGGCCCGTAATCGACAGGCCCAGCTCCTAAATCGATCCACAAGTAGCGATCTTTGCCGGTCCAAATGCTGCCCAAGCATTTGGTGAAACCTGGGGAGCTGTCGCCATGGGTGTAGCTGTAAGCGTAGGTTTTGCTGGATCCGAGTGAGAGGGA